CGGTACTTGAGAATCTACGTAAGATTCTTTTAAATAGAAGTGCTCCTTGAAAAACACCGGACTTCAGCACCTTTGCACAAACTGCAGGGAATTTACTCACTGGAGTTTGCTTCTGAAAGAATAGGAAGTCCTTCTAAAAACAATTGACTTACAAAGTGAGATATATATGCACACATTTTGGACTTTTAACTGTAACTAGGAAATCACTTGTCTTACTTCTGTACTTGCTAATCTTTTAAAACTTTGGTTTTCAGAAATGCCAGATACATAACATTCTGTTGGCTCTTAAGAAACTCGGGGAGCTATATGATGTAGAACTAAAATTTGCCCATTTATTTATCTGGGTAGAATCTTCGTGACAGGTTTAGGAGGTCTTATGAGAATCCTGAGACTCAGTTAAAAAAACACTCCAAACATATTGCCACTGAGTTGGAACTGACTTAGCTGGCCCTCTATCTGAGACTGTAAATCACACAGGAGGAGACAACTCATATTCCTCGGGAGTTACTGCTGGTGGATTTGAACTGACAGAAGGAACCACCTTTGAATTACTTGTGTGACACCCTAGACACTACCCCACCGGAGCTCTCTCCTGTCTCCCTAATGCAGTGAAGTATGAAAAGAGTGCAGTAAATCTTTTACACCAACTACAGAAAAAAAATGTTAAAAGAGGAGACTATCAACCTACATAAACAAGTATTTGCTTGCATAGAGATTGAGAGGGAGATAAAAAGATCTCCCCTCCAAAAATATTATCTGAGGCTGGGTAATAAATTTGCATTTCTCTCAAGGTTTTCTGTCTTCCAGGACCCATCTCAGTATATTCTGTAAAGGTCTCAGTCAACTGACTAGGTTACCAGGTATTACTTACTATGGCCAGTTCTGGTTTAAACAGACTCTGGCCACAGATGTTCCCTGCTCTACTATACCCCCAATCTGTCTCAAACCAACAGGTTTGGTTCAGAAAAGAAATCTGTCTTAAGTTATTTAAAACTACAAAGTCCATAAAAATGCACATCCAGACAACATAAAATTACGTACCATGAACAGTACATTACAAAAGGCCTTTGTTCATGAAGTTGTTTTAAAATACCTGAAGTGGAAAGACAGAGAAACTAATGAATAAGCTTTTATATAGAGATTCTTAAAGAAAAATCATAATAAAGGAAGTTCAAGTACATACTTAAGCACAGCATTCAGATACATCATTTCAGTAGGAAAATATATATTAAAAAAACCCCCACACCAATATTCCTTGAAAGCAGGAGGTGAAAGAACGTTTTATTTGTGTGAGTTGGGAGGAGGGGGAGGGTGAGGAGTGGAAATCCAGTAAGATACAGTTGGTTGCTTTTCCGAAGTCTGTATGCACCATAAATAACTGAGATACTATAAACTGTATTTCAGGCATGTTGCTAGGAAAGGGAATGTTCCTTGGAAAGGGACATACATCATGTTTGGAAAGGTGGAAGGTCAGTGAAAGAGAATACGACCTTCAACGAGATGGACTGACACAGTGACTGCAGTAACAGGCTCAAGTAGATCAGAGATGATGAGGATGGCACAGGATAGGGCAGGGCCCAGATCTGTTGTTCTCTGGGTTGCTATGGTCGTACCTGAAGGCATCTAACAACATATACTGTAATCTTTAAAAAAACTGTACAATAAGATAAATAATGTAGAGTATGTTTCTGATGCCATAAACTTACCAGATAATGCCATAAAACCTAAGGCTGTATGTAGTCACAGGGCAGTATGCAGAAAACACACCAGAGTAAAAAGAAAGGATGGATCTGATTTTTTCCCTACATACTAAGTAGATTTACTAACCCAGTTATTCTACATTAGTACAATTTTGACTAAACTCAAGGATAGCTTCTGTTCCTATCTCAAACCAGAAAAATCAAAACAGCTGAATCAAATACCTACTTAGACTTACAACTGTTAACTCTATTCTCTTAAAAACTACAGATATTTTCTTGCTCTTTCTTTATCTAGATAACTCTGTACTACTAAGTAGCCCCAGCCACACACTTGTGCCAAGGGGGTCCAGCAGTACAACTGTGGTAAATGGATGGTGTTATCCACCAATGATGAGACGGATGAGTTGTTACCACTAACAAATATTTATAGAGTGGAAGTTGTTTTCAGGAATACTAGCTTGAAACTTTAGCTTTTATGAAAAAAAATGAGCAAAAAGATCTGCTTTAGAACTTTATTTACATGGTAGTAATACTGAGAGTCAATCACTCCCTGACTGCCACTGTGAATAATCCTACTTCCAACAACCCTCCTCCAAGTCTTAATGGGAGAAGCCTGTTTACCTTTCTTCAGTGGATTCAAACCACCATAGAACAGTGGCCTCTTAGTTAGGACAGCACACACACTATAGTTCCTTACTGAGGATGAATGAATTTAAAAAATGAGATTTAAGAGTATATTCTCATTGGGAACACAAAACCTCTGGGATTTTGTGAATAATTAAATATTATTCATGTAAAGTAAAAAGAAGTGCTGGATCTGATTTTTTCTGACCTATTAAGTAGGCTACAGGGAGCTCTGGTGGCTTAGTGGTGAGGAGTTGCACTGCCAACCCAAAGGCATATAGTTCAAATCCATCAGCTGCTCTGTGGGACAAAGATGGGCAGTCTCCTCCCATGTGATTTATTACCTCTGGCAATCCACTGGTCAGCTATGGGTCTCTTCCAACTCAACGATACACAACAAACAACATTAAGATGATTTTTATTAGTACAATTGTTCTAGTTATGTACTGTTGAACTCGGACCAACGCATAGCTGACCCTCCAGCGGGTTTTCAGAGGTAGTGAATCACACAGGAGGAGACTGTCCATCATTCGCCCATGGGGCAGCTGGTGAATTTGAACTGAATGCCTATGGGTTGGCCACGCAGCTCCTTACCACTCGGACACTGTTGTTGTTGACTGCCTTCAAGCCGAGCACGACTCAAAGCGACCCTATGAACAAAAGGCCTGAAGCCCCTCTACAACTATCGACATTTATCAAAGTTCATAGAATCTCCGGAGGCATTTTGTTTAGGAAGTGGATGCCACTCCTGCTTCCAAAACTAGGGCACTAGAACTCATATTTGTGTTGGCTGTTTTTTTTTTTAAATCAATACTTTACTAAATAAGGATGCTGACATTACACTTCATATAATAGTTCTAAAATTTCACAATATTAAAAAGGTATTCATAACCCAAAAGGCAACAGATTTAATTATATGGAAGAATTAGCAACAACACTAAATTCAACAGGTAACTTGTGAAAATTTCCCAATCTGTGGGGGGAAAGAAGAAGCTTAATTTTGGTCATATTCTACAATTCTGTGTAGTAGGATACAAATTTTAGGACTTTGAATATTTATGCTACAGACAATAGCATTGTCCACTAGAATCAGGAAATGGTTTCTTTTAAATTCACTGAATAATCTTATCTTCTTTGTCTTTTTCAAAATACGTACTAAAGGCAAATTAGGAAAAGGATGTCAGGAAAATCTGATTCCTTTTTTCTTACTTATGCTTTCAAAGCTATTTGAAAATAAAATCTGTTCCTTTTTTGATTAAGTATCCTATATAAATCAGCTACATGATGAATGTTTTTTGAAATGAACAGCAGCTTTACACTAGTGACATATTCTACATTAAGAGAAAAGGAAACAAAGCTATTAGACAAGTAAGATCACAATTTCCAACTTGTGAGAGGTAATAATCAAGTTATAAATGTGACGAGTTTCTTTTATTATAACTGCTTTCCCACAAATTCTGCAGCTTGGGGTCAATTTCAAATCCTTCGAAGAATCTACTCCAAGAGTTAAATATGAACATACAGACAAAGCTGATAAAATTTTTAAATAGCAAATCCATTTTACATGTTATATAGGCTAGAGGCAGCTTAACATAACCAGACTTTTTTTTTTATTTAATTCCGGTTGTTTATTTTTCATTTCAATGAACATCTACAGAGATTTTTATGATGAAGAAAGTAACAATAGGCTTTACAGCTCTGAAAGTTATGGTAAGGTTTTAAAGTTCAAATTAAATAGGAAAGTCCAAGTATAAACTTACATACAATTATCGAGAAAGATCACTGTACAAATTTCACTAGGAAAATGTTTCACATATTACTAAATTATAGTTGAGTATATATCAACTCTTAGCACATTTTTTAAAATTTTTTTTTAGCACATTCTTTACATCTGTCCAATAGTGATCCAAACAGTAAAATACAGGAAGCATGAAATGAAATGTTGGTGACAAATAATTCAGAATACCAAAATAAAATTAGTAAAGAACAAGTAAATCTAGAACAACGAAATGAAGGTATATTTATTAAAAGTCAAAAATAGTACACAGTCTCTTGTAACAAAAAAAAAAAAAAACACACCCAAATTCATATGTATTCCAATAAATTCTACAAAAATGCACCTTTAATAAAACAAAACACATTGAGGACTTTAAAAAAAAAACTTTCAAAAGGGGAAAAATAAATCCCTGTGCCCCCTCCACTTTGCTGAGTCTCTCTCTGCCTGGAACACCCCTGCGAGATCCTGTCTCTTTTCCTATGACATGACACGGCATGTGCAACTGCTGGAGGAGCATCTGTTTCGGAGGATTATCGCAGTTTCTGTACTGATGACCCAGGACATCAGTAGCTCCATTAAAAACCAAACTTGTAGGCTGGAAGAGCTGTGAAAACTATTCCCAAAACCATGTATTTTAACGAGAGGTACACAAGAAACCACTCAACGTAGATACTTTCACATTATTTTGTTTAAGTGTCAAGTACTTGTAAAAGTTAATGTAAAATTTACAAATTAGTCAAAACTAGTTACTTAAAACTTTAGACCAAAGCTCTCGACTCTTTCAGCACTGCTGTCTTCCACCTCTATCACTAAACATTCTTGTAAACCAAAGAACTCTGAAAGCAATTATGTACTGCAAAAGCAAGCTCATACCAAAAATGTCACACTGAGTCTCCCTTTTAAGACACACACACTTCTTGCTGAATACTGGACTGTGAAAGCTTATTATCTTCAGTCTTCTCATGCCCTAGGGCATGGCAAGCAGTCTTCCGCTTAAACAGTCTCAGACTCAACCGTAATAATTCATTGTCCACCATTGGGGCATTTGTATAAGTTTGTTTCACTGTGCCCTATTTGGAGAAAAGACAAACACACCGTATATACTTATTAGCTCATAATAAGAAAAAAAGGCAAGCTAATTTCTAATAAATATCAAAATTAGAATATTTCACTTTGGATGGGTATTAAAATTATCTTAACCAAATTTAAAAACAAATTAAGTTCTTTTCCCCCCAAATTGTGATTTGCGTGAAAATTTATGCAGCATATTATTTTATAAAATAATCAATCATTTGAGTATATTTTGTTCCATAACACCAATTATAACACACAAAAGTCTGACCACCCATTCAGTATATGTCTTTCCTTTCACCTACATTAAGGGTCTCATAAATCAATTCTTGATCTTCACTTTAAAAGTTACAATATTTTTTTCTTGTCTAAAGGTGCTTTTTATAAGTATTTCAAAGAAATAAGATATTTAAAATTTCATACACTTTAGTTTTCAATAATTATGCAAAACAAATATTCACTGATATTACTGAAGTAAAATGACAAGTTTATAAAAAAAACCTTAACTGCTCTTCCTTGTACATATATAAAACACTAGAAAATTAAACTCACAAAAACAGATAATAAAATCTTTATCTCACTTTAAAGCAATCATATGGAAAATATGCTAATCCCACCACCAAATATTTTACATTTTTTCCCCTATGGAAATAACAGTACCTTTTCATTTTTAACAAGTTGCTTACGAATTGCAGAATCTCGCCTGAAGCATAATGCTTTACAACACGGTCCAAGATTACTAAGAAGATTTGCCCTTTCTTCTTTTCGAAGTAATGCAGCCATGTTGAGAGCTCCCAATTCATGTTCAAAAAGACTGTCTGCATCTTTCAACACACACAAAAAAAATGGATTAAGTTTTCCTAAAATAGGAAATAGTACCACCACTTGCTTAACTATCCTACAAAATTCATACATTAAACTAGATAACACTAATGAAAATGATTTTATACTAAAAGTAATAAATTCTTTGAGAAAGACCTTCACTATACAGCTATGCTGCTAGTATTAAAGATTAATATTCTGATAATCACTCTAACTTTTTCAGACACAAGAAAAGGCTTGTTAGAAGGCATTAGACATCAATCAGTGATTATGAAATTAAAAAAAAAAATTCATTACATTGCTTACCATGAACTACTCTTAAAATAAAACTTTAAGACTTTATTCTATAGCAAGATTTAAATGGACAAGTATTCAAGATTCTGACCTTTTAAAAAAACAAATTAAGCTGGAATTATGATTAGGTGTTTGTTAGACAATCTGCACATTTTATCTTAGATCTAGTCATTATAAAGTCTGGGACAACGCAAGAAATAAAAATCCCTTAGATTTAGGTCACAATATTCAAGGCAGAATAAAAAGGACAACATCCCACTTCATACACATGAAAAATAATTAAGGTATTTGATAGTAAAAATAAAGCTTTTAGACTAAAAACAAACAAAACAATAAAAAAGAATAAAAAAACCCCAAACCAAACAGAACAGACTCAATCAGTAATCCAAATAAATAACAGAAATAGTATTGACTTTAGTTGATATTTTGAGTCAGTGGAGACTTCCACAGGTACCAGTTACTTCCTTTATTCAAGCAGACTGTGGTTCAAGCTTATAAAAGTAGAAAAAAGAAAAACCAAAAAAACCCACAAAACAAAAAACCTCAACAAAACAAGAACACAAAACACTTGGGCAATACCAAAGCAGGCTGAAAAGTGCATTACATTCTTCATTTCAACTTTCTAAACTGGAATGCATGAATCGTGAGATTAGATAATGAAAAGGTTAGTCTTCTATATCTAGCCAATAGGTGTTTAAGCATATATTTTAAAAAACCCCAAAACTGTAATCTTAAATAATAATTCTTTTTAGAGTTAAGTCACTTTGTATCTAACAGCACCTTTGGAAAATAAAAGGTGCTCTAGTGTTCAATGGTTTAAGACTAAATGGATATATAAAGACAAAGCAAAGGCATCAAAATAAATGGAGAAGTTAAGCAAAAAGCGATCTGGAAACCTAGGCAAAAGGAATTTTCATTTTAGTAAACTCTAAAGTTTTAAGTCTGTTTAATGAATTTAAATCTGCTTAACAGAAATAGTCTGTTTTTGTTTTCTGTTTAATTAGCTACCTTTTTTTTTTTTAAATTATATACATAGTGGTAGGGATAAATCTTTCCATTGCTGACCAGCTGGCTGGAAGAGGCCAAATGAAGCATGAACATGCACTATCAGTTCAGAAAATAGTAACTGAACAACTACTGTGCATCAGGCACTGTTCTAGACAATGGCATAATTTAGATACCAGATAGGAGAGTAAAAAAATATAAAATTCTATTCTTCAGGAAGCTTACATTCACCATCATTTTCTAAGAAGCTAAAACAGTAGCAAAAAAGTGGAAAGGTCTGATGGAGAAAACAAACTTTTACATAGTTTCCTTTTTTAGGCAACTTGTCGGTTATGTCAAGGACACTCAAGATTTCTAAAGTTAGCAAAATCAAACAAAACTGATAATGCTATTAACAGTCACAAGCACACAGAGCTTTGAGGTTTAAGCCCTTAGAGGTTTTACTTCATCATTTAACATACGAATTTGAGACTCATAGGAATTCCTTGCTGAAGTTCACAGAGCCATTTAAAATACAGGGGGAAAAGTGACGGCAAGAATCCAAATCTCTGGTCCTTTTACCAATTAATATACATTTAAAATTATCACTTACATATGTTTTATACATATACCTTCTGTTCACGGGCATAGATCCATGACACAATTAAAATATTTTTTTTTACTATCTTTTGAAGTAAAAATGTAATTATTTTAACTCAACTTATTGTTGTTCTCAGGGAAATGACACAAAATTATTAACACTGTTGGCTTTCACCTTTTCTCTCCCTGTTCTTTTTTACCATTCATCTCTTCCCTTCCTATTAACAAAATCATTAATAAGCTGCCTGAGGTAGGCACCAGAAAAGAGAACCAGGGGTGAGGGGGGGTGCGGGAGGGAGAATCTATAAACTACTCATTAATAGCAAGTAGGTAAAGTGTTCTTCCGGAATCCAGATCATCTGGCCCTGAATACCAAGCTCTTAACCACTTTGTTAAAAACTCTACCTATAATTGGCCATTGGGAGTATTTCTTCTTTTTCCTAAGCAAGAAATGCCAAGCAAGATACTCAATCTATAGAGATATGGTCTAGTTTTCCAAACTCTGCTCCATTTAGTTTGGGGTAAATAAAGCATGATGGTATTTAATCCTACGCGGTTGTTAAAGAGCAATTTTGATACAAGAGGTTTTTGTACTATGCTTACAATTATGAGAATTAAACAATGAATATAAATGATTCATCAAAAACCCCACCCAAGAGCCCCTATGTTATAAATGCTATCTAAGAAAATAACTGAATTCTTTCCAAAGTTTTCTTTATAGTGATGGCAGATATATACAAAGTGAAGTAGAATTACCTTTGGATTTTTCTGAAAGTCTCTGACATGTTTCTTTGACTTTATTAAAAAGTTCAGAGCCTGCCAACTTTTTAGAAATCCCAACTCTCAGCATAACTGCTCCAGGTGTGAATTTTAAGAGTGCAGCTCCAGGCTCTAGCGTTTCTTTTGGATTCTTTGGCATGAGACCAGACCAATCCACATCTATCACATCTAACGGATCTGCAAAGAGTGAAGCAAAGTAGTTTTTAATACCATGAAAATAGTATCTTTGTTACTTATAAAAAAATATAAGTCAAGGCAAAATGAAGAAAGCATTAAGTACTTTAAACCCAAATATCATAGTCTTAAAAATGGAAAGTTTTTTTTCATAAACATTATTACATAGAATTTAAAGACTGACCAAAGAAACCCCTTCTTTATCAAAATCAGATAACCAAGAAAACCCCAAAAAATAACCTCCACAAATCATGCCTTTAATTACAAGAGAGATTTCACTAGAAAAACATCATTTTGCTAGAACTTTGATGTGTATAAACTTGGCACTAGAAATTCTTTCAAAAGACAACTCTAGGAGTGAATGTAGTTTGCTACAGGTGCATCTAAACATTTTATTTTTAAAAAATAAATTTAAGAAAACACACAGTGCCTTTAATTATATTGAGAATAAATAATCCACTCATCCACAAAAAATGATTTAAGAAAATTAACAAAATAATGTTCTATTTAAAAACAGCTCTAATATCAAATTCTGCCTTCAGCATTCTTAAGTATTGCAACTCAAGACTTGAATTTGTTCTTCAAATCCTTCAGCTTTAAGAAATGCCAAGCAAGTCTGCCCCTTTTGATTTTCTGACTCCAGCTCTTGCACATTATAATACTTTGGTTTGTCTTCCTGTGCTGCCTTTTGAAATCTGTTCAGCTCCTTAACTTCTTGATTTCCTCCCTTTGCTTTAGCTTTTTGGTCTCCTCTGACATTCACCTTGGTCTTTTCTTTATCCTTTGTCTTTGCAGTGACTTTTTGCCTTCTTCATGAATGATATTCTTGATATCCTCCTACAGCTAGCTTATCTGGTCTTCACTCATTAGTGCTCAAGGCTTCAAATCTGTTCCTAAAGATGGTCTTTAAACAGCAATGATGGCAGTAGGGAGACTAATGTGCACCTGATCCTGGCCATGGTCTTTACAATTATTTGATGTGCATCAGAGAGCTGGACAATACTTAAGGATGACAGAAGAAGGATCGATGCCTTTAAGCTGTGGTGTTGGAAAAGAATATTGAACATACCATGGACTGCTAGGAGAATAAACAGGTCTATCCTGAAGATAGTGAAACCAGGCTGCTCCCTGGAGGTAAGGATTCTGAGGCTCTATCTCACATACTTTGGATAGGATTGGGCGCATTTGGGGTAGTATGGCCACAGGCAGAGGGACATCACGCTTGGAAGGGTGGAGGGACAGCACAGGAGAGGAAGACCCAGCATGAGATGGACTGACTTAATGACTGGAGTAATGGGATTAAGTCTGTCGGAGATGATGAGATTGGCTCAGGATAGGGAAGATTTCAGAGCTAGTGTACATAGGGTCGCTATGAGTTGTAGGCAACTTGATGGCACATAACAACAACAAAATAGCAGATAATAATGGTTAAAAATTAGATAGATCTTTTATATGAACAGAAAAAAAAGAAATACAAATGTTAATTAAATTAAAAGTTAGTCTTTTCTATATACAAAAAAACAAGGATACATTTTTGAAAACTGTTAGTAACAATCAGACTAATTAGGATGACTCAACAGGAATGATGAGGGTTGTGGCTTCAGAGAATAGTAACTAGAGTGAGCTTTCTGGAAATGCACTAGAGTACCCTAAGTCAAAATCATAATTACGGAATTGAGAAGCCAAAAAGGGGCATATAAGTAGCAAATAGAATTCCAACTGTTCTAACTTTCTGAACGGTCACCTAAAAAGTGGTTTATAGTACTGACATGAACCACTATGCTATATGCTGTTTGATAATCAACAGAGTGAAGATTCCAGGTCACGCCAATCTTACATTCTGAAAAATGCAATCTTAGAATGTCACTATTTTCAATGAGCCCCTTTCTAATCTGTAGCCAATATTTACTTTCCCCCCTGAATTTAAAACAAGGTCTATGGTCTGCAATTTTCATTTGAATGAACTTGCAACCTTCATTAAAATAAGAAAAATTCTAACTGCTTCACATAAATTCTTACAGAGAAAACTTTAATACTACAAATTAAATCATTTTCATTTAAACTACTAAGGCAAATTACTACCTGGCATCTTCTCATCATCCTGTTGCTCCTCCCTCTTCTCAGCATCACCAGCAAGGATTTCATCAAGTTCATCATCACTGATGGGCTCATATCCTTCTCCAGCACCAGACCCTAAAGAATGTGCATCATCTAACTTGGATTCCTCATCTCCTGCTAAATACAGAAATAAATTTCAGGTCAAAAAGAGTCTCCAAGAGAAGAGATGTTTAAGTCAAGCCAAAGACATAAGATGAGAAATAAAAGCTACAAAAACCATATCTTAATATTGCTTATGTGTTTACACTATTAAAACTTTAATTCATAAGATGTCTTTGAAATTTGACTCTTACTTCATAATACTGATATGAAAAAACCATGAGATAAAAAAAAATGTAGAATGTCTTTGTGTTTCTCAATTTCTCTTCTCTATCCCAATTACCTTCCTTTATGTACTGAACAAAAACTTCAGAAGAATGTTGGAATATAATTAAAAACATCTTTATTAGTTTCAGTAGTGTATGTTCTATTTCTTTACAAACTTTTCTTATTCAACTAAGATAATGAGCTTTGTCTCCTGATGAGTTAAATGGAATTTAAATAATTCCCAATCTATTAAAAAAAATGTTTAACTTTTTTAATCATTAGCTATCCATACATCTTACTCAGTCTACAAAACTGTTTTGCTTTATGGGGATGAATTTTTGGTTAGGATTCAGCTCTGACTCATAGTGATCCTACGCACAACAGAACCGAATACTGCCAGTCCTGCCCCATTCCCAGTCACTGCTCTATCTGAGATCACTGTTGTAGTCACTTTGTCAACCTCTCTCATTGAGTGTCTTGTATTTTTTTAGTGACTACTTTACCATGCATCATGTCCTATTCAGTTAATTGGCTCCATCTAGTAACATGTCTAAAGTACATGAAACAAAGTCTCACCACTTCACACCACTTAATAAAAGTCCATTCAGACTAGACTTTTTTCAAGACAGATTTGTTCTTTGTTCAGGTTGTTGCACTGCGGTGGTTTTGTGTTACTTTGCCACTGGTATTTCAAGTAGCAGCAGTCACTCAGGCTGAACAGGTTTTAGTACAGCTTCTAGACCAAGACAGACTGTGAAGAAGGAGCTGGCGATCTACTTCCAAAAGGAACTGGCCACTGACCACCCTAAGGGTGGCAGTTGGTAAAAATTTATACAGAAAATAAATCATTAGATCTTTTCAATCACTCTTGTAATTTTCAATTTTATTAAATTCTACAATAATATGTCCATATCAACTGGATAGCACAAATGGGTAAGTGCTTGACTACTACTGAAAAGGTTGGCAATTCAAATACATGCAGAAGAATCCCAACAAACAGGCTGCGTGACTGTCTAAAGGTCACAGCCTTCAAAGCCCTATGGAGCAGTTCTACTCTGCCACACTTAGAGATACCATAAGTGGTTGTCAACTCAAAGCCAACTAACTTAGTATCCCCAATCTTCCTCCAAGGTAATCAATTTTAATAATGTTCTCACACACACATGCATCTAACCACAGATACATATACTAGAACTTTGCTTTTACAAGTTCCTTCAATTCGTTTTTCTACTTTAAATGAATAAATTCTTTCCATCACATAAATTTCTATGCTCTATTATCTGTGGTCACAACTAGCAACCTATTCTTTGACAGATAAAAGGCACTGACTCTAATCTCAAGAAAGCACATCAAAGCTGTATCTCCATTAACACCATCGTTCATGATTTGATACTAAGGATATTAAAAATTGAGATGAAACAGCATTTGAAGAGTTGGAATAAAAATGTTTTGTCCTATCAAGTAGTAGAGAAATACATAAGAGAAGGAAGAATGGTAATATTGGAATATTTATTGATTATTAGGGAACTTTGGTGGTAAGGAGTTGTGCTCCCAGCTCAAAGGCATGCAGTTTGAATGCACCAGCTGGTCTGGGGAAGAACAATGGGCCATCTCCTCCTTTGAGATTTACTGCTCTGAAAACCCACTTGAGGTAGTTCTGACTCAAGAGCACATAACATTAACAACATTAGATTGTTAAGATAATGAAGATTTAAAAGAATATGAATTTTAATCTAAGAAGTAAAGGAGCACTATAATAAAACAAAGTGGTTCTCACCTTCCATATTTTCAGTTCTCTCAGCTTTATTTAGATCTTCAAATCCTTGCACAGATCCCAGATCTTTATCCAACCTTTCTTTATCGAAATTTGCAGCATCTCGAGCACTGCCTTCTGGGTCTCTCTCAAGTTCACCTTCTAATTTTGCTTCACCACGTTTTACTGACTCTATTTGGGAAGAACTCTCAAAAGTTCTGTCTCTGTCCCTATCCCTTTCAACAGAATCTGGAATGACTCTCTCTCTTTCTCTGTCCAGTTCTCTCCTCTTTTCTCGTTCCCTCAATCTATCTCGGTCCCTGGTCCGTGCCCAATCTTTCTCAGTGTCTCGGTCCCACTCTCTCTGCCTTGTATCTCTCCTCTCTCTCTCCCGGTCTCTTTCATGTTCAAATCTATCACGTTCTTGAAGCCTATCTCTGCTATCAAATGACCCAGATCTTGAATGAACCTGTCGGTCAGATTCAGGAGAACTTCTTCGTGAACTATGGCTTCTTGAATCCTGGCGATCTAAAACAAATATAACCATATACAAAGAGTTAACACCTGTTAACATAGACTCCCTAAGTCATAATGTTGAACAGACTTGGAGTATTTTCTTTATAATTACTTGAAAAGGGAAATGTGAGCTTATTATAAAATGCTCATATTTTCTTTTCTTTTCTTTCTATGGAGCATCAAGTACCCATATATCATTGGCAGTTATTTTTTTAAATAAGTATTTTTTTTAAAGTATATTTTCACTATAATTAAAGAAAAATGAGACATAAAATGCTTCCCTTTAAGGTTCTATAAAATGAACAATTTATCTTCTGCACTTATACCTAGGCTACTTAGATAACTTTGTTTCACAAAAATGTAATCTTTCTAAATTCAAAATATATTATTTAAAAACAAAACTCTCAGAGTTGACTCTAATTCAAGGTGACTCCATGTGTTACAAAGAACAGTTACTCCATACAGTCCCCTGGCTGTCATTTTTACAAAATCTGACTGCCCAGTCTGGCTTCTGTGGTAGGTTGGGTAGTTTAGAACTGCCAACTTTTAAGTCAGTTGTTAGACTGCAAACTATTACATTACATGGAGATCTTAAACACATTGTGAAACTACAGTTATCAAAACAGTGCCTACCTGTATAATGACAGATGTATACAGAAAGATAGAACAGACTTAAGAATGCCAAGATAAACCCATGTACCACTTTCACTAACCCTCGACCTTTTCAAGTATGATGTCCCTTTCCAAGGACTGGTCCCTTCTGACAACATGCCCAAAGTATGTGAGAGGAAATAGTAAGATAAAATCTCAGGTGTCAATACAAGACTTGAATACCTAAGCCCTTCATCAAGAATTACCACTAAAACTTTAATACAAAACAGACTAAGTCATTGGTTGTATTTCTATTACAATGCTAGTATTAACATGATAACAGGTAATAGAGCTTATCGATACTATCTGTAGATTCTGTATTTGGGAAGTTGGTTGAGTGTTAGAATCTATTTATAATCTCAAAATCAATACTAGTGGTCATTAATAAACATACTCAGTAGTAAAAAACTTGAGTCTTTCAATATATTTCCATTAAAGTCAAACAAGACAAAAGTCAGCCTAAATAGGTATCCTTTTAAAGATCTATTCAATGCTATATTTTCCACATTTCAGTGTATTTTGTGGATCATTTTGCTATTTTAAAAGGTCCCTAAGCACAGTGTTGATATGCTGTACAGTGTTGCTTAAATAAGAGAAGGCCGTTTTATGTTTTAGAGCGAGAACTTGCATGTTACATAATTTTGCTGAAGTGAAATTACAGTGCTGTAGACTGTCAGTTTAATGGGAATGAATCAACAATAGGGCAATCTAGAAAACGGAAGAAATGATTCACCAATCTATGCATGACACTGCTCCAGAAAGTGTTCCAATAACATCTAGGGTACATGATCAAACTATGGAAAGATGAGAAAAGGAGCTAAATTTGTGTATTCATAGAATGGGAATCCCAGCCTAGACAACAACATTGCTGGGAGACTGAAAGCCAAAGAAATTTAGAGATCTATTACCTAACCCAGGATCAAGAAAATGTTAAATCTTCCTCAGATGGTGTTTATTGTAAAGATATACAAGAAATAAGGGACCTTTAAAGACAAACACACAAAAAGCAAGTCCACATACTGACAGAACAGAAGCTCTGGAACAAAACGTTACAACTAGAGGCTCACTTTATGAAACTATCCTAAATGAGAGAATTCTGAAGGGACAGTCAAGTTTTTTGCTAAGTTCATAGAATTTAAGGCAGAATATAAAGGAACCTACTTAGAATTAGTTTAGTAATAGATTTATATAAAATACACTATTATCTTGATTAGATCAAGCTATTTATTACCTGAGGAAGTGCTTCGACTTGGTTCTCCACGCTTTAACTGGTCAATTCTGGACTTCCTTTCTCCTGTGATTTCTAGGCTCTTGGTTTTTTCCCTGTCCCTTGAATTACTATGCAGCACTCTCTTTCGACCACTTTGGTCATCTCCGTTTCGATGTGCAGAGTCATTGGATGGGGAGCGGAGCCGACCAGATGTATGACTCCGATTACTCCGATTGCTCCCGAGGCTGCTACTCCTTTTCTGATCCACTGGCTTACGATGTGGTGCACTTTCTAGGGTGACACGGGGTGCTTCGACTTTCTCTATCCGCGCTCTGTGGCATTTTCTATGCAATTCTTCACTGGTAAATGGAGTGGAAGCGGCTGAGGAGGAAATGGTGGTGGAGGATGTACTAAAGGCAGCTGCAACAGCACTATTAGCAGTGGCAAGCGCAGCAGCCGCAGTACCCAGAGGAGGAGGAGGAGGAAGGATGGAAGACAGAGGTGGAGTGCTAGTAGGAGTAGCAGTGGTGGCTGCATGCTCAGGCTCCACCATCTCCGTGCGGTCAGGCACATCCTCATCAGACCAGTCACTAAACGCTGTGTCTTCTTTTTTCTGAGCATCATCTACAGTGCTATTCTTGTCACTAGAAATTCCAACCAAGTCCTCTTTAACTATTATAGGGGGCGTCCGTGGGCCTCTCTTCTTCTTACTTTGCTGAGTTATCTCTTCTTCAGAAATGTCAGAGTCACCTTTTGATCTTTTACGTTTTTTTTCAATACTTTTCTTTTTCTGTCCCTTTTTGGGCGAAAATACTTGGCCATCTTCAGATGTTATCTCTGCATGACCCCTCTCTATCACAACATCATCATCCTTCTTTTTCTTAATGGGTCTCTTCTGAAGTTTTACTTTTTTCTTGCTTTCTTCATGAGCTCGATCAGATACATCTCGGTCTTCTGACGACTGGTGGCGATGTCCTAGAATGTCCTGTGAACGCGTCCTTGAGCTTTCCATGATTTCTGTCAGTTCTCTCTGTTTCTCTAGAGAAGATAGTTTCTCTTTAAGGTCGAGTTCTTCATAGCGCCGCGAACTCTCTTTTCTTTCTGGTTTGCGATCCTCCTCTTTCCATCTACTTGGTCTGTCCTCCGTAAGGTGCGAGGGACTAAGCGAACGAGATTCTTGAGGCCGTACAACTTGGCTCAAAAGTCTATGCTTCTCATCTGTACAAAAAGATGAAAGAAATCATACTAAGTTAATAAACAGTGTACAATACAAAGGCAATAAGCCAATCTCTTATTTTTCATTTTTTCAAAAATAGCACTAATTTCAGAAAATAAAAACCAAAAAACCCCTAAATATTTAAAAATGGCTTTTCATAAACAGCATGGAATTGATAGAGCATTATAATAAAATGACTTTATGTATTTGTAACATACATGCTTTAGTGAGTGAAATGATATTCAGTGGCAGCAGAAAATGGACACTTAGAAAATCTTAATTCATCAGTGCGGACTAAAATTAACCAAGAGTCTCATGGTTACTAATGGAGCTGAGTATAGAAACAGAGGAAAAGATATTGTGCTGACTTTTATCATCTCCACTGTTGTAGGCATCACTGTCCGGAGAATGTTCACGTCGGCGTTTAGGTGACTGACGAGGGCTAGGACTCCCTTCATTTCTATAACGTTTCCTAAATTGGAAAAAGAAATGCAGTCTGTAAGATTACAGGGGTGAAAAAGCTCTGCTTACTACACATTTACATGTTTCTGTCAAACTCAGAAATGACTCAGAGATGATCTTCAAGCAGGTTTCCAGTAAACTGCAGAGAAGGAGATTACCCATCTTTCTCCTGCAGAGTAGCTGGTGGAGCTGAACTATTTGTCACTGGATTGGCAGCTCAACTTCTTACCACTAAGGCAGCAGAACTCCCTTTGGCTGTAACTGTTATGTTTTTATTATATACTATCAAGTCAGAACTGATTCCTAGCTGACCTGCCAGTACTTATTTAGAGACAATATAATCACACAGGAGTAGCATGCCCATTTTTGTCCTGAAGAGCTCTGGTGGATTCAAAGTGTCTGCCTTTGGGGTGGGAGTGCAGCGCCTTACTGGCAGCCCACCAGAGCTCCCTTCAGCTATGACTAGAACATGTAATTGTAGGATATAAATATTGCCAGAGACAAGATTATGTAAAATGTAGGTAGTGTCTTGGATAAAATTCTTCATTTGCAAAAGATTTAAAATGGACTTAAGCTATAAATATAATCAATTTATTATGCTTAGAAACAGAATGGGAAACGATAAAGATAGGTATGATTTTAAGTTATACCCATGCAACCTTAGGTAAGTTTTTAAATTCATTAAACTTATTTCTCATCTGAAAATGGGTGAAAGTTGCAGTGAGAAGTAAATACACTGTACCAGGAGTCATGGATTAGCTATGCTGTGGACACACTAGAAAAAGACTGTTGCCCTTCTTTATAACAAAGAAATTAATTCATAATTTCATTTTACTTCTAGTTTCTTAAAACTTTAAGTCAGTAGTGATTTATCTCTTGGGTACATATTCTATTGTTTTGTTCTAAATTCCACTGTTTTCTATTTAAGAGAAAATATTTTCCTTGTTTTCTCTTAAATTGCAAGCACTTCTTTTAACTAAACTTGTCTTTTTATAAATACTACTCCAAAGGTGGTGAAACATGCAGCACGTCCATGTCCCTGTCAACTCCCCTACACTGACAAGAAATCATATGGAGAAGCAAGTCCTCCTGTATAAAAAGGGACAACTCAGAGAAGGAAGCTTGTGCACCTCTGTCTCTAGCCACGTATCAGTCTCTGAGGGTCCCCCCAACCTTAGCTGTGTGTCTATTTCTTGTAGCCTGGGGTGGCTACGCCATATGAACAAAAACACAAACTCATAAAGCATTACCAGGAATGGTACAGGCAGTATCTCTTGGTGACTGATCAACTCCACTGACTACTTATAAAGGCCCTATGATAAGACACAAGTTTGCTATTTCAATCTCTTCTGATGCTGGACTTCTAGTAGAAGAAAATCTACAGCAGTTGAGAAGGTCAACGGCTGTATTAAAGAGAAAGATTAGTAGCACCTCCTGGATATAGGAATAATGAAGTGGACAGACTTATTTTCAGACATTTCAAAAAGACTCTAAATACCAAATATGTAAAATAAAATTGAAATACAGAAAAATGTGGAGTAAATGAAAGGGCACATTGTAAAGCATTAATTCAAACTTTTTTACAATGCTTGAAATGTAGCCTTTAAAAAGATGCATAATAGAAAAAAAAAAAAAGAAAGATGCATAATGGAAACCTTACTTTGACTTCCTTTCATCATGGCTCTCTCTGGCACTCCGTTCTTCCTGGATATCGTCTCGCTTTTCCCGGCGCTCCTCTCGCCCTTTGTCTTTGTCTTCCCATTCCCTCTGCCGGTCCCGTTCTTTCTCCCTTTCTCTCGCTCTTTCTCGCTCCCGTTCTCGTTCTCTCTCCCTCTCGCGCTCTCGCTCTCTTTCTCTCTCCCTCTCTTCTCTCTCTCGCTCCCGTTCTTTTTCCCTATCTCGTTCTCGCCCCCTTTCCCTCTCACGTTCATGGTCACGATCTCTGTCCCTTTCCCGGTCTCTTTCTTTCTCTCTTTCTCTCTCTCTTTCCCGGGCAGCACGCTCTCTCTCTAGTTCTCTCTCTTTCTCTCGTTCCCTTTCCCGCTCTCGCTCCCTCTCTCTCTCTCGCTCTCTGTCTCGGTCCCGGTCTCTTTCTCTCTCTCTAGCCCTTTCATCTCTTCTATCATCCACTCTGTCTATTCTTCGTTCCTCTCTTCTTTCATCACGCTCAAGCTCGTCATTCCTTCCCTGATGTCGAATTGGTGAGCTTGGTCTTTGATCTACAATGAAAATCAAGTTTCGTCAGTGATTATGTGACATATTACTTACTGGGGTAAAACAACATGGCAAATTGTTTAAAATTACATTATAGACAATGGTTTAAAAAGTGCACACCAGAATTACTTTCAATTTATCACCCAAACAACAATCACCTCTACACCTTTTTCTTTTCTCCTCTACCTCATTTCCTGCTCCCCATCAACCCGCCTCCAACTCCCCACGATCTATCTCTGATCTTTCTGCATGCTCCCTACCCTTCCTCCAGCCCACTGCTCCAACCCCACTTTCTGCCATCTCTACCCTTCACCTCTGATCTTCTCTGTCCCCCCAGCAGGACCTGAGAACACTGGTGGCAAAGGATAGGGGCAGCAGGAGGTGTAGAACAAAGGAGCTGAAGGAAAAAGAAAATTTCCCTCGTAAGTCACACCTCTAATTTCAGGGCAAAATATATACACATCAAAGTGCAGCTAATTATGTGATTAAAATATAGCAGAACAAAACATGTCAATATTTGTTGCTGCAGTATCAATTTATTATAAACTAGAAGGTTAAGGGTATTGGTGCTAAGCAATCTTTAGAAATAAATGTTAAAATGTAGTTATCATAGGATATGTATTTGTAATAACTAATTTCTAACAAATTTAGTTTTACTAAATTTACTAAATTAGTTTTCATTTCACTCATCACTCAGAAGAGTTCTTAAGATCTTATATTAATATCATCACATTTTATATTTTTCCTAATCAATGAATAAAAGCACAACTTTTCTTTATATCTTATTTAGTTTTTTACTTTATCTGTTTCCCTTTAAATATTTGAGAAAGCACATGATGCCCAAATATCCAATTAAACTGAACCATAGTCTGAAATTAAGATAAATAAAATGCATAAGAGGATGAGTAGTTGATAGGATCTAGATGACAGTAGTTTTCCTGCTTCTAGAACATCTCTGGGTTATTCAGGGAAGATTACACTACAGAAGATGAACTGGCTTGAATTTTAAGTGGAACACCTGGATCATTTTATTAAGGAGAATAATTTTAGTATATTTCAAAAGAAGGATGTTATAATATGAATGCCTTTCCTTTCCACTGATGAAAAAGACAAGAACTATTAGTCTTTTCCTTGTTTAGAAGGGCAAGCACAAAAGTTCATACAATTTGAAAGGTAAAATAGATAAAGCCCTGTCCAATCTTTGTCTCCCTTTTCTTCTTAAAAACATAGAAATTATGGTCTAGAAGTTAATGTGCAAAATGATAGAAATGACAGAAGCAATGGAATATCAAAACAAAAGTCAGTTCTCTACATAACTTTTACTGAATCCAACTTAAAATGGTTCTAATGTTTTTACATTCACTATCTAATGTTCTGATTTGAGGATTAAATCAATGTCATAGCAATTATAAAATAATCTGAAATGCAGCTTATTTTCATTCATTCTTCCCCCTCATTTTTTTGTGATTTTAACGAACGTTTACAGAAAAGTTGGATTTTTATTCATTCGTAGTTGCACATTTTCCTCCTTACCACTTTAAAAAAAAATTTATTCATTGTTTCATAATTTCCTCCCTTCCCTCAGTTCACATTTTATACATATTTTATTTTGGGCTGTTGTCACACAAATAATATCTAATCATGTATTCCGTTTAAAAGCAGTTCTTTCCTTTATCTGTTCCAATGCACTGTTCATTATTTATCCTCTCTTTTCTTAGTTGTCCGCCAAGCCCCCATGTCAGTCCTGTTATATAAGTGTTTTTGCAATTCATTTTAAAGTTACTTTTTGATTATAGTAATGTCAAGGTCCAAACTATTTGGAAGAAAAAAAAACCACCTTTATTCTTTCAGCTAAATGACAATGATCCATAAATTAAATCATAAGAAATATGCAAATACCATAGACTGCAAGACCTAAAAACAAGGCGGCCTTGGGTGAGTTCTGGCTCTCACAGGTTGCAAGGCATTTCCTTATTTTAACAAATGACACAGCTATCTCATGAAAGCTGGAAATCCCCACATTAATTAACTTGAAATTCAAATGCAAGGTCGGTCAGTTCCATCTCAAATATTTTCATATTGTATTTCCTCTCTTGGTCCTTACAGTGTGTATTAACTCAGACTCTCATCATTTCTCCTTAGATGGAAATCTTGTCAATAACCTAACTTGTTGGCATCCTTATCATTAGTCTTTCCCCAGACTCTCTTAGACTTCTTTGAAATAAAGACTCATTTATTCCAGCTGCTTAAGATAATTATCTTGTAGGCAGTGAAAAGGCCGTTAAAATTCTTTAGCTTGACTTATTAGGCTATTTACAATCAGGCCTACAGTTTCTCATCAATCTTTAGCTACAGCTTCTTTCTCCACAAACACAGAATAGAACACGACATCATCACTCTTAGTCCTGTGTGCCTGCGCCTGCTGTCTCCTCTCCTTGCCAAGTGGTTCTTCCATTGTTCCTTCTAGTAAACTCTTACTTATCTTTCAGTTCTTAAATCAGATGTCAACTCTTTACTACCTAGAAGACTTCAGTTCCTCATATACAGACTATAAGGTGTCAGAGGTAGGTATCTACTTCCAGCCTCTATCACTCTTTCTATGGCTCAACGTCCTTTAGTCATCTAGGTCTTCACCCAGTTCCTACATTCTATTAGACTAGTTGTGGTCTCAGAACTAGTGTCTGGTCTCACCACAGTCTTATCTCTGTATGGCATGTGTTTACCTTCAAGACTCCACAAAGGTAGTTTCTTTCCTTTTATGAACATCATTCTATAAATGCCATAGCCTCATATTTTGCAGAAGCATGCTATCTAAAATACGTCTCTAAATCATTACATCTATCCGGACCCCTTGTTTACTCCTTTTTTACAGCACTCATTGTTTCTTTTCATTTTTGGGGGTGGGGTTAGGGGCAGGAGTGTTCTTTCCCACCTATTAAATTCTACAAGGAAACAAACTACTGTATTTTAAGTAACTAGCAAAGTGACAAACATGGGAGCTTAATAAGTATGTAAGGAATAGATAATTGATCTCTCAAAGAAATCTGTTATTTCAGTCATACAAATGCTATTTATTGAAGTAGTTAATAGTGAAGTAAACAGAAAGAGAACTGAACTTGCAATTAGATCTAGGTCTAAATTTTATCTCTGGAATCTATTTCTCTTCAATACTGGAAAATCACTCATTTAGCCCAAATTATCTATGTTGTGCAGTATGGGTTCTCTCAGAATACCAACCCTCATGGGGATACTGTAAAGCTTATGTCACAGGCTATATATAAAGCAGCATTTTCTTGGCACCAAGTAGAAGCTCTCAATACATGTATGGCTGAACTACATTATATGACTAAAACAAAGTATTACAACTGAACTCAGGCATGAGATAAGAAACATATGAGCTTAGACATGGAGAGAAAAAAGAAAAAGAGACGATTTTCAAAAGCTTTATCAAGACTTGGTAAAGAGAAGTGAATCAAAGTGCTAGAGAAGAAAGAATTTTGGATACCATCTAGATCCTGCCTTCCCTGCAGCTGAGGAAATCCCTTCAACCCAAATGGATTAGGCTCACCTTAGCAAACCTACCAACCAACCAACCCACCCTCTTGTCTCTGATCTCACCTGCGCTCTCAGAGCAGATGTCTTAGAAAACCTGTACTACTTCCACCACTACTGTTTCCATCAAGATACATAATTTGCTATGAAGGTGAGGAAGATCATCACTTTATTTTAAATGTTTAAAGGCCTCGATACGGATAAACAGTACTAAGGTATCTGAATGCCTTAAGTGTCTATTAATTTCACTTTAAAATTTCTTTATGAGATAATCTACTTGGGTAATAGAAAACTGTTTGTATAAAGCATACCAGAATACAAAATTAGACAAAGCAAATATTCTAAATACTGTACTATCTCAAGAAGATACATGAATAAATAATCCCAGCCTAACTTATATAAAAATAAATGAAGAGGAGGGCTATAAGTGATTCAGTATTTTCAGATGTGTTACTAGTGAGTCTTAAGAGTCTGTATTAGAAAGTTAGTTGATAACTTTCTAAAATCCCATCCCCCATTGTTGTTGGTCACTATTTAGTAAGGTTCCACTTGACTAACCTCGTTCTCTGTTGTCACGACGGTCTCTTTCTCCATGTCTTCTCTCAAAAGAAGAATCCCTTGCTTGATCTCTGCTGTCTCTTTCCGGATATCTGTCTCTTTCAGGATAGCTATTTCGAGTTTCCCAGTTGTCGTGATAGTTGCTACTACTACTGTGGCTGTCAATTTGAGAAGCTCTTGTGCCTCGACTCCCTAAACAAAGAAGATTCACAGATACGTTTAAAGTACACATTTTATTCAACAATTGTCATTGGTCACAATTTTTCCAATGGTTTTCCCCAAAACCACTATACATGAAGAGATTTTTTTAAAAAAAACTTAATTCTAAGGTATCATAATCATTCACTGTTGAGAAGGGTAAGAATTAGAGCACCTACGTTCCAGTTTCCCCTCATCTATTGGAAAGTTATTTATTGAACTATAAAACGAGAAGATTCACTGCAGTTAACAAACAAAAATTAGATGTAAAAATCATCGGTTAAAACTATCACGAAAATAATGACAATGATGGCTATAACTGCTTTAGTTTATACTGAAAACACTCCAACACAGAACCAAGCTGCAGAATGCTAACTGCTGATTTATTTATAATGATAATAAAATAGAATACTAGCCAAAAGTAAGCTACCAATTGTTAGTCTGGGCAAAGAGGGCCAAAGAGAAGAATGAAGAATTCAGAACTCATATGCTGATAGCCTTGCCTGCTGCAGATAAGAGGGCAAATGGCCTTGCCTGTCTGGCTAAGCTAGCAGGTGGCTTGTAAATCAGAATAGAATGTCCCTCCCTAAAGACTCTGTTTCTAAAAATCCTTCCCAGTAAGTTCACAGTGTGACTTCCCATTCTGCATCTCCAGGATGAGGAACTCACCCGGGAGCTCCCCTTTCCCCCTTGAATAAAGCTGCATTAAGCTTTCTCACGTTCTCTCTGATTTCTTCTTTAAGTCCACTAACCTAACACCAATCAGAAAATATCTTTCAAGAGGTGAGCTGCGGAACAAACTGGTACATTAATACCATGGCACATGACTCAGAAACAAAAGAGCTAACAGTAGAAATATGCAATAATCTAAAAGACCCACAAGATTATGCTGATTGCGGAAAAAACATCAATCTCAAGAGGATACAAAGAGCATAACTCCATTTGTGTAACAGTTTGAAATAAAAGTCCACAATTTCAATGCCAGTTTGCTTTAATCATCATTTTATCAGATGACTGAATACAATTTAACGAATGGAAGATCTAAGCAAGTCTGCATTTACTATTGCTATTTTAATTACTTTTTAAGCTTTTAATTTCTATTCAGAATTTATAAAGATGATCATAAATTCAACTAATTGAAAACTACTTAAACAAAATGATAATGAATGTAAGAAATAATTTCTTTGGAAAAGCAGCTCATAAAATAGAAGAATACTTTCTATCAAACATGTAAAACAGTAGTCACAGCGTCAAAAACTTACCCTTTTCAGGTACTTCTGGAACTCTCCCCCTATTCCGGCCCATCCGGTCATTTCTAATTTCACTTCGAGAGTCATTTCTGGAATCATTCCTTATCTCAGTACGAGAACTTTCTTCTCTTAGATGGTTTCTGCTATAACTCCGGGATTCTTCCTGATAGGTCTCCTCCTTTCGGTGAGCATCCCGATTTTCACGGTCCCTGTAGTCATGTGCATCCCGAGTGGAACGAGAGTCTCTAGGCTCACGGCTGTCTTTGCTGTCGCGGCTGTAGTCTCTCATGTCTCTGGAATCCCGCAGATCTCTGGAGTCCCTTAGCTCCCTTCTGTCTCTTGCCTCTCTGGGCTCTCTCCGATCACGGCCTTCCCGAGGTTCTCTGTCATCTCTATGGTCTCTAGAAGAGCTCTGATCCTGTTCATACTCCCGCTCTTCTCTCGTGTCCTTTTCTCTTTCCCTTTTGCCTCTGGTCTCTATTAACACAATTTTGGAAATTAACAGTAATTCCTTTTACAGAATTTCTGGAAACTAGACAATGTATCTCAAATAGATCTGTTAAAATATGAGCAACTAAGAAAATTAACACTATCTACAAATCAAAACTCCAAAGATAATTTCATTAAGAATTATGCTCTTTATTGAAGATGAACATTGTACAATCTCCCCGATGATCCAATGATCCAAATTTATAAAGCTCAAATGAATGACTGGTAAAGCCTTACTTTTTAAAAGCTGTAATTTCAATTTTGTTTACCAAGAATTTCAAATCATGACCTCAAGAGTCAAGCATCTGAAAGCAGACTACAAAAAGTAAGCCGTCTGGCAAAAAGATATTGTTATTTGTAAACCCTTCTTTTTCCTGAGATATGTAATAGTATCACATGTACTATTAAGTGTATCTGTCTCAAAAGTTTTCATTTTGGAGTACTGTCCAACAATCAAATAAAAAAAATCATTAAAAAAAATTTCGAGCTATTAACACACTATTAAGTAAATTCAACACTATCATTTTATAAATAAAGGAGTAAAGATCCAAAGCTTAAAAGGCTTATCAATCCCATACAGAAAAAGGGGAAAAAATAAAACAAACTGTTCTTCCATCAGATCTGATCAGCAAGATCCTACCAGGCAGAGAACTGTTCTAAAAGGTTTCCAAGGGTGCAAATCATTACAGGTTTTCTTACAGAAGAGCTGATAGGCTACAACTGTTGACCTTTCTGTAAGCAATCAAGTGCTTAAGTCAACCTGAGAGTTGAAAGGAATCTCAAAAGTTTTTCAAATACACCTAAAAAAGGCATAAACTGATTACAGAACACATTGTATCTAAATTAACAAACAAAAAAGAAATGTGAAGAATATACTTGCCCTTAAGTCTGTAATTACTGGAAGATCTGAGGCTATTTTTGGAGCTGCAAGAGCCATAACCCAAGAAACAATAAATTAACCTCTCTTCTTTGCCCTGTGGCTAGGTCCATAGACTTTCTCAGACACAAACATCCAATATCCACAAGGCCCCTGGACTCTCACATCAGTAACTTATCTCACCCAGCAGTTACTTTCTAAACACGCCTGGATGCAGAGGTGCAGTATGGTAAGAGAGGATCAAGCAAAGAATAAGCCTATCTCCAGCCCTCTCTATACTATCACTGCTTTTCCTCCAAGGATCAATTGTGTCTGAACATGAACTTCCTTAATTCCAGATCTTTATAAACATATTAAAGAACTATCTTGTTCTTTACCTTCTTCATCATCTTCTCAGTGAAATTATCCTTATTTCAGAAAATGATTATAGAAAGGAATAAATGCCTCCTGTCTTTCTTACATGGAACGTTAAGGAAACATCCTCCTTACAAAGAACTTACACATATATGATTTGATATTAAAGGATTTCTTTTTATAATATAAGCTTTTTACCACAAAGTGTTTCTACAAGGCTCAACTAGATACTATTTTCCTTTCTTTAGTATGTGTAATGACTGTTCTAAAACAATAATGGAGCTTTCACTTAATGAAAGCTTAGTAATATATATTATATGCTTAGCCAATTCTAGTTGTTAAATATCATCTTAATATAATAAAGTTAACAGATAGGTATAAGAGAACTTTCTTGTGATGATCTGGCTTAAATCTCATGCACACAAGGAATGATTCTATAAAACAGGTGCTCTCTCTGGTCCCTACCTATGCATCCGTCACATTCTTGAAAAAAAGAACTTGATTAATTATTGCTTGCACTATCGGTAGGAAAACCTGAAAGGTAGTGTCCCGTCTAGGATCTTGGGAGAGACTTAATGTCAGCTGAATCCGGACTCTGGCTCCTTGAGGTACAGTAGGTTTGAGTTTGAGGGCCCAGGGCAACTTTGGTGTTCTTTGGGCCCCACGTGGGGGTCGGCAGAGCAGACATGCCAGATGAACTGGGGATCTGGTGGAAGGACTTCGCCAGCATTTGGGCGTGCTGGCTTGTTTAAACCCTGAAAGGCCCTCGGACCAGTCTTTCATTTTGTTCAGACATTCCTCTAGGTCGTATAGCCCTGGTGTACAATTTGCCGTACAGTGGTCACTTGTGGTTGCTGTGAGGCTGAACACTGTGACACTGATGTGTCAAATGTGTTAATGGCTGGTTACCCAATGCGGACAGAGAGTGGGGTGGAGCTCCCCTATTAAAACAAGCTTGGAAGGAGGAGTGGCATCCACTTCCGTAATAGCTTGCCTCCGGAAACCCTATGAACCTGGAGAGAGGAAGAAGGGCACCCAAGCGTTGAGGACTCTCCCTCATAGGGTCACTGAGTCGCCTGTGACTCGACGGCACTTAACAACAACAACAGGAAGAGAATACCTATGTTCAACATGTTTCATATGAGACTATCATACCTGGTACTCTCATAGCCTTTTAAAATGCTATTAAACCAAAAAAGTTTCTTTCTGTGTACTCATTATGTCTAAAATTTAACTAAAGAGAAGTTAGGAAAAAGATCTGTTAAATAAACAAGGACAAAAAACATAGACAAGAAAAACAAGATAAGATGATTAGATGGTACGCCAGGAATGCTACAGTACTTAAAGAGGGAGAAGCAAATGCAAAAACAAATTCATTCTCAGGGATGTAGAAAGGAAAAGTGCTTTTTCTACTTCCTAACTGTAAGTTATTACACCTAAAAATCTGCTTACTTAGGTTTGCACTGACTTTCTGTAAGGTCTTCCCAAATCATCTTCCTTTATCTAACAATTTTCAATGTTTTAAAACCTGGATTTCCTTTTCCTTCCTTCACCTCCTTTTTTATAGAAATTAACTAGGCAATTAATTTTTAAATTTACTAATCAAGTAATTTTTAAAAGTTACTAGACCTTATGATGACTCAGAAGACTATCTAGATTAAATAAAATACCAATCTACCACTATCTACCCACACACCTAAAGCCAGTGAGTTGATTGTAACTCATAAGAGACCCACCACCAGGTTTCTATTCTGTTCATCTATGTAAGCAACTTCTCACCTTTCTCCCTTAAGAGTTTCTGGTGAATTCAAACCACTGACCATTTTGTTTAGCAGACCAATACACCACACACTAGCCTTCAATTCACCCACTTGTAAATACATTACGAACTGCATAAATTCATGTGTCACTAACACTTCTGATCACTCTCTAGAGCTCTAGTCTGTGTTACACAAGACTCAGCAAACATTTCTACTCTATATTACAAAAGTAAATTTAGAAAGTCAATTTTTAAATAAAGAAAAAACTTTTTAAAAAAATCAAGATGAAGAGCAGGACATACCTTCTCTCCGTTCATGTCGCCGATCGTGAGACTGAGAGGTTCGATCATGATCGTGCCTCCCTTTCTCCCGCACTGGAGAACGGTGTCTTGGAGGACTTTGCTTTCTCTGAGGAGAGGGCAACGAATGCGAAGGATAAGGAGAAGCAGAGCGTCGTAAAGGGGGGCTTATTGTCCGCTGATAAGATGGGGAAGGAGTTCTTTTTCTCCGTGGAGAAGGAGAATGTCTCTGAATAGATGACCCTGACTGTGAAGAAGATGAGTGATGTCGAGAAGATATGGGAGAATGATGCTGTCCCGCTGGAGAGGAGGACCTGCCAGGAAACAATTTAAAAAGTACTTGATTTCAGTCAAAGAAAAATTTACAAAACAGAAATAGCAAGTCTAGACGTTAAAGCTAAGAGTATGGACCATAAATTTAGATTTAAATTCACAATGTTTGTTGTAAAAATTTTTATATTTTTTATTTTAATGAACATTTACAGAGAGTTTGGATTTCCATTCATTCACTGTTGCACTTTCCTCCCTGTCCACCCCTCCCCCCAGTTCACTTTTCTCTTTGAAAAGTAAAAGGAAAAAAAAATAGAAAAGAATTCTTTCATTGTTATACAATTCCCCCCGACAAGTTCACTCCACTATGCAGCTTTCATTCTGGACTCTTGTCATGGCAATAATATCTAATCAAAAATTCCTCCTAAACAGTTCTCTCCCTCATCTGCTTCAATGCAGTATACATTATTTATGCCCCCTTCGTTTCCTTCCAAATCCAATGTCACCCCGCTTTACAACAGTGGCACTAGGTAGTATTGGATCTTTTGTGACTGAGATATCTCACTCAGCATAATGTCCTCTAGGCTTACTCATTTTGCATAGTATTTCATGAGTTCCTTGTTTTTCAGTGCAGCATAGTATTCAATTCTGTGAATATACCAAAGCTTCTCTAGCCATTCGTTTGGGCACGTAGGTTGTTTCTAACTCTTTGCTATTGTGAACAAAGCTGCAATAAATATGGGTGTGCATATATCTGCTTGGGTGGCAGTTCTGTTTTCTTTAGGGTATATTCCCAGGAGTGGAACTGCTGGGTCAAATGGTATTTCTATTTGCAACTTTTTGAGAAAGCGCCATACAGCCTTCCAAAGTGGTTGCTCCATTTTACATTCGTACCAACAGTGAATAAGGGTTCCAGTTTCACCACAAAAATATTTTTTAAAGATTTTTAAAGATTACCCTGATCTTGAAGTCAGTTTGAGCAACAACTCGAGTAGAGATATGCACTGTCTTTTCCCCAGGTTTTGGCTCCATGACCATTTGACATTTTCTAGGGAACATTTTCTATTGAGCAAAGACTATCTTACCTAATTCAATACACAGAATTTACTCCTGGAAGAGATACTCTGGGAGTATGATCAGGTACTTGGAGAAGGAGTTAAAAAGAAAACATAATCTAGATCTCTGTCTAGAGATCTAGATAGAAAGGGGCTTGAGGACACTGTTATTAACTGCCTCTGAAAACTCACTGAAGGATCAGCTATGGGTCAGTTCCTTCACGACAGGATATAACAACCACAAAGCCAAAATTAAAGATTCTTCTGCCTGACTTGGCATTCAGCACGGGGAAAACACAACGCATATCGCTTTAAAAATATTTTTCACAGAATTTGAATGTTTTATTCATAACTGCACTAAGCTGAATGCAGTCAAGATGTCCTTCAAGAGATGAAGAGATAAACCAGTCATGGGAGATCTCAACAACTGTCTATTATGCAACAATTAAAAGAAATAAGCTATAAGACCATGAAAAGCTACAAAGACTGAAAGAAGTCAGTCTAAAAAAGCTCAACACTGCAGAACTCTATGTAACATTCTGGGAAAAATACCAGTGGTTGGGGAAGGGAAAGAGGAGGAGAAGGAAATAGCACAGGGGATGTTTAGGGTGGAAGAGCTGATCTGTAGGATACTATAAGGTGTATATGTTATTATGCACTTGTGAATATACCACATAACCATATAAAAAATAAAGGCCAATGGACTAAGCCCACCATATTGTATCAAAACTGGTTCATCCCTTAGAACAAGTGTCCCCCATAAATGCCAGATATTAACATATGATAACTCAATTTTCTACACAAATTCTGTACAAATCTAAAACTGCTTGAATAAAGAAGAAAGTTTGGCCTCACTCCTCAAATAAATAATAAAAAGTTTTCCCACAGTGTATTCAGGTAATGCAATGTGCAGTAAAGCTTGGGAAATATGACCCTATGTGCTTAAGCTCTCCATAAAGACTTTATTACTAGCAGCTGACTCAGAGTCAACCAATGCCTAAGTAACAATAAAGGCTTTTTGGGGTTTTTTTTTTAAAATATAACTTTATAAGGCTCTATTACACAAACTATACAGTTCATATGAAAACTCACAGATAAAAAGATCTGTAAATATTTCTACACTATATTATTAAAATAGAAAGGTAAAGAGTATATTTGAGTATATTATTTTCCAGGCATTCATATCTAATCTTCACCTCAAGCCTGAGGCAAGATCACATACACAGAAAAAAATAGATGCCCAGAGAAAACAAGAAACTTATTCAGAGTCTCTTGTCAAGCAATGGACAGACCTAAGATTCCAGTTCCAATATGCTGAATTTCAAAGCTTGTGCACTTCCCACTGCACTGTAACTCAAAGACAAAATGGACAGAGAAGCCCCATAAAGAGTGCATTTTTTCTGAAGGAAATCTTAATTTCAAGAAAGAATATATTTGAAAACAAAATAAAAGGCAACCTAATGAAATCTGTATTTCATAAATCTTGTGAAATGTAAAAAAAATTACCTATACGTTGAGAAAGTTTTATTTATTCTAAAGAACATTAAATAAATGAATTTTTAAAAATCTAATTCCTTTGCCAGTCTAAAAATCAATCTTTTAGAAGTACTATTTGGGCTTCTCCCATATTTCCTTTCATGGAGGCGGGTCCATCCTTTTGTGGATGTGGATGTAACATTCTAATAAATCTATCTTTACTTTTTACCAAAGAAAAAAAAAAGCAAGAAAGTAGTATTATCTTGAGATAAAAAGATGGGCAATCAACTTAGAGCCTCTGAAAAACTGCTGGAGGGTCATACGTAAGTCAGGTCCACTCTATGGCACACAGCAACAACAAACTGTAAAGAACAACTGGCTTATGAGACAACGAATCTAAATTAATAAAGGCAGCAACCCAAAGTCTAAATTTTGAAGTAATCATCAAATTTCATAATAAACGCATTCTTCATAACAGACTCAGCTTAATGAATACACTTACATAAAAAGTTGCTGCTTACAGAGTTAACATGGGAAGAATTAGGCATCAACATAAGAGTAAAAAAATTAAAAATAAGCCTTCTGGCTTATTATTAGTGTAACTTCTATTACACTAAAGCCTAAAAGTTACTGGAAGGAAAATACTCTAGATGCTATTAAAGTGAGATAGTGAATAATCTTACTTGCCTTGGCTTATCTCTTTTCTCCCTCTGTCTTTCAAAATCACGTCCTCTGTCCTTTCCATCTCTCGGTTTTTCTTCTATCCGGTCTTTTAGTTTATACTTTTCTCTGTATTTTTTGCCCAGAGTAGTATCTTCCTGTATAGGAGGAGGTGGACTCGGAGTTCGAGGTCCTTTCTTCTTGCTCTGGCCGCTCTTTGAAGTTCTGAAGGCAACAAGAAGCCAACATTAAAGGTCAAGATACTTTTGGAAGGCCACTTTATATACACACATACACTATTAATTTCAACAAAGTGCTTTTTAAAAAGTACTTTGTTGACATAAATCAGTGCCTTCTACTCTTGTCTATGCTGTTAATTAATGCCTAGAGAAGAAAGAAAAAAAAATCAGCCAAGAATTAACTTATTTATCAACAACCTATGAACGACATTTTGAAGAGCAATAATAGAAGAACACTTAATTGTGCTCATGTAGAGCCTGTGTGTAGATAAATAAACAGTTGTTCAAACAGAATTAAGGGGCAACTGTGTGGGTAAAAACTAGGAAAAGTATGTGTCAGGGTTATAACCCTTCATTACACTTATTCAAACTCAATGTTGAACAAATAATCTGAGAGGCTGGGCTATAAAAACATGCATTAAGACTGAAAGAAGTTCTTGTTAACAACTGCAAAACAAAGATAACAACTTTGCTTGCCAAAAGTAAAGAGGACTTGAATTACTTACTGAAGAAGATCAAAGACACACCTTTTACTATGAATTGTACATCACCATAAAGAAAAAAAAAATCTCAACAACCCTTCACAACTGCACCAACAGGCAATGTCATGATAATCAGGAAAAAGACTGAAGTTGTCAATGCTTTCACTTAACTTGAACCCATTTAGTTAATGCTCATGGTGGTAGCAGGTGAAAAACCAAATCATATTGCACTGGTCAAATATGTAGCAAAAAGAGTTCTTTAAAATGTTAAAAAGCAAAGATGTCATGTTGCACAATAAAGAGTGCCACACCCAAGCCATGGTATTTTCAAAAGCCTGATGATTACAGATGCAAAAGATGAACAATGAGCAAGCAAAACTGAAAGACAACTGATGACTTTGAATTAAGGAGGTGGTGAAGAATATTGACTATAATATGCACTGTAAAAAGAGTAAGTCAATCTGTCTTGGAAAAGGTATAACCAGAATACTCCTTAGAGGTGAGACTTATAAATGAACACATTATAAGGAGGGGCCAGTCTCTAGAGAAGAACATTATTCTAGGTAAAGGAGAAGGTCAGTGAAAGACAGACTTCAATGAGATGGACTGACAGAGTGGCTATAACCATGGGCTCAAACACAGATTGTAAAGCAGGCACAGCAGTAAAGGGGCAGGCAGTTTGGTTGTTTTACACATAGGGTCACTGTTCATTGGGATCAATCTGACAACACCCTAACAACAACAATCTTTAAGGAAGTAGAGTGGTACATGTTTCTTCTGCAGAGGGGTTGGTAGATTAGAGAAATTTAAATAGTACAGAACAAATGCATTAAAAAGCAAAAGTCTAGTCTTCAAGTTCGTAAATGTAATTATTTCTAAATTCTTTAGTATATGGTTAAGTATATACAATAAAGAATTTCCTGGTCATGTACATAGCAGTAAAGGGGTAGGTAGAGACAAGAAGAATGTTCACTGTGTTCACCAATAATACTCAGAAAACAGAAATAATCTAAATAATAGATAAGAAAAAAAAGAATATGGTTTAAATACCAAAATAAATGAATAAAGATATATATAGCAACAGAGAGAAATAGAAAAAAAATGTTAAAAAGTTGGAGAGAAAAACTCCTAAAACAGAATTAAGATTAAATACCTGAAAGCAATACTACATCCTGCAAAACAATGCACATTAATTATATTATATACACAAGGTCATAAACACTAAATTTAAGATGTAAAAACAGGAAACATACACTGTTTGTTTGAAAGCATGATGAAACTGAATTATTAAAAAGCAAAGGCATATATATTAGATACTAAATGGATTAAAAGTACCCTTCTCTAATCTAGGATTTTTTCTCCGTATCAGTTCACTCTGGCATTTTTTCATTACCTAACTGACCTCTGTTGGTCCAGCATGGGAGAAGACACTGCAGATGTCTTTCTATCTTTCTTACTGGCTGAAGAGGACTTAGGGCTGGATTTTCGCTTTGGCGATTTGCTGGATTTTCTTAAAGAAGGTGATGGAGACAATTTTGATCTAACCATTTCTGGTGAAACCTTAAGGGAAGAAAAAAAAAATTACACACACAAAGTAACTGAGAAACACCGCCAATCATATTTATTGTAATCTGATGAAAAAGCGTATCTTTTCAAATCATATTAAATCTACCATCTACAGTTTTAATCACTGTACAACCTATCATAACACTATTACCAGAAAAACAAAATAAAATTATAAAATTCAACAACTGATTGAAAAATTACAAATAGTAATAAAGTGAGTAATTCCTCTTACAAAATAGAACTCCGATGACCCAAGGGGTAAGGCCAAAACAAAGGCAAGCATTTCAATTTCTTGGGAGGAAAACGGACAATTTCCTGCAATTTTGTCTGAAAACCTGCTGGCAAGTTATTAATGAGTTGGTGGTTCCCACTCACTAAAAAAGACTTTTTTTTGGATTTTGCTTTTTACAGAAAGATCAATGGCCTTAAACAGGTGCAGAATTAAAATGGTACTTTCTGGAGCTCTGGTGAGCTAGTAGGCAGGCAGCTGGCATTGCTTACTACTAAAGTAGTCACTCTGGAGGTTTGATTCCACCAAATGACTCCACAAAAGATGAAAAATCTTCTCCCATTTCATTTACAGCCTCTGAAAACCCAATGGTGGGTCAGCTATGAGTCTGTTCTGACTTAATGAGGCAAAGACAGTCGGGCTCAGGTATAGCAGAGATGAGGATGGCAGTACAGGATACCACAGGGTTTAGACCCATTTCTCTGAGTCACTATGAGTCCTTGCTGACTCAATGGCACATAATAATAACAAGGCAACTGCAAGAATAATTTACAATGATTAGTATGAGTTCCTGTAAGATGGGGATTGAACAGTGTTCCAAATATCCAAACTGCTCTATGATCTGATAACCTCTAACCATCAACTGTTCTTAATTAGTCCTCTCAATCCCATCTGTATCTCTGGGTTCTTAATTCCCCAGAAAGCCTCAGAGAAATTAAAAAACCATCAGGGAAACTGATCACTGGATTGTGGATGATGCAGACCAATGTACCTTGTCCCAGAGACTGGTGAGGCCAGCTAGGAGACTGCAGGCCAAGGCTGTGTGCCGCTTGTGTAACTATGACAGATTAGTGTCCCAGTGAACAAAATGCTGAGCTTCACAGTGCCCCAAGTGAACGAAATGTTGAGCTTCTAGTTGAATTTCTTTATAGGATCTCCAGGCTATAGACCACACCCCTAGAAGAACTAAGGGTAGCAATTTGAATAATAATTTCTAGCAGGATTAGAAGCTATCACAGTATCTCCTTAAATTAAAAAAAAAAAAAAAAATCCTTGAATGAGATCACAGACAAAGAAGCGAGAATTAAAAGGGCTATTACAGTCCACTGTTACAGTCACTGTGTCAGTCCATCTTGTCAGGGGTCTTCTTCTCATTCTCTTATCCGTCACCATTCCCAACACAATGTCCTTGGTTTTTTCACTTTGCATGATGTCCTTTTGCAAGGACTGAAACCCTTCTGAAAACCAGCACCACATAGGTGGGATGAAGTTTCACCATAAGGTGCCTGCCTCTAAGGATAGTGCTTAATAGCAAAATTATTTTCCATTTTTCAGTTTTCCATTTCAATAGAAAAGTGATTTTCTATTTATGAAGTGGTAGAGGATTAAATGGTTGTTGCTGCTGCTGTTAGATGTTGCTGAGTGGACGATGATTCATCGGAGCCCCATGTAGGAAAGATCTGAACCTTCCCCTGTCCTGCACCATTCTCACAATCTCTCTCTGCCATGTCTGGGCTCAAGCGGTTTCAATCTATCTTGCTGAGAGTCTTCCTTTCTTTCTCTAATGTTCCATTTCACCTAGGAGTATGTCTTTTTCTAAGGACTGGTCCCTACTGACAGCATGCTCAAAATACATGAGACAAAATCATCATGTCTGTAGAGCATTCTGGTTGTATTTCCTCCAAGACAGGTTTATTCTTTTAGCAGTCCATGGGATATTCAACACTCTTCTCCAACACCACAACTCAAAGTCAACAGTTCTTCTGTTACCTTTATTCACTGTTGAACTTTCAGATGCATATGAAGCAATGAAAAATACCATAGCTGATTTGAGAAACACCATAGTCTTTAACACATTGCCACAAATGATGGCTATAGTGGGGGAAAAATGTGTTTCTAAGCACGGTCGTCAATTTAAAAGTGTGCGGCAACGTGTTAAACTGACATCATTGGTCTTTAGCACTTTGGAGAAGTCTTTGACAATCTAAAGACAGACCCAACAGCTAAGAAACTGTCAATATTTACAATTATATTCATCACTACAAATTAACATAAATGAAACCCACTGCCTTCAAGATAATTCTGACCTATGGTGACCCTCCATCAGAGGCTATAAATCTTTAGAGTTAGAGGCTGTCCATCTTTCTCCCACTGATGACTGGTGGATTTAAGGCAGCAAACTTCTGGCTATCAGTCCAACAAGTACCTCATGCCACCAGAGCTCCAACTAATAAGTTTTCATTATCCCAGGGATAGCCATTTATTAGTACATACTTATTTTTATAAATAGCTTACCTCCTTTTTAATGATAATTTCTTCTCTTTTCTCCATATTCTCTTGTTCAAGCTTCATTAATTCCCTCTGTATCTTCTGACGCTTCATTTCCAATGACAATTCATGAACGTAATCATAATTAATATCTCCATTGTCAGAATCTTAAAAAAAAATTATTACCTGTCAGAAACTATCATTAATTATTCATAACTGAAAATATGTTCAACTAATTTTTAAAACAAATCTACATGGTACTTCTTTCATTAGAATTAAAAAGCTAAAAGATAATAGGAACATATAATATTTATATAACAGATTAATTCACCATAGCTAATTTTCTTATAAAAAGGAAAGAAAGCAATTCTAAATTTCCTGGAAGTAATTTTTCCTGAGTGATTATGAGTTGTTTGGAAGCTGGGTTTCTCGTTGTTGCTGTTAAATGCCGTCGAGTCGTAGATGACTCGTAGCAACCCTATGAACAAAAGATCAGAACACCTGTATAACTTTGATCATTTCTCAAAGTTCATAGAGTTTCTAGAAGCAAGCTACTTTGGAAGAGGATGCCACTCTTGCTTCCAAGTTTGTTTTAATTGAGAAGCTCCACCAAACACTGTCTACCACAGGTTACCATTATTACATCTGACACATCAGTATCACAGTGTTTAGCATCACAGCAACCATGAGTTACCTCTGTACAGCTTCTTGTTAGGAAAGAGGAATTAAAAAGATAGAATTAATTCACTTAGGTTTTTTTCAGTCTTAAGCACTTGAAGCTCAACATCAAGAAGACGAAGATTCTCACCACTGGGCCAACTGACAGCACCATGACAGAAGGAGAAGAGACCGAGGTTGTTAGCAATTAAAGCTTGCTTGGCTCCACAATCAACACTCTTAACACCAGCAGTCAGGAAATCAAAAAACTAATTGCATTTTGAAAATCTGCTGTCAGGGACCTCTCTGAAGTGCAGAAAAGCAACAATATCAGTCTAGAGACTAAGGTGCACCTAAGGTGATGGACCTTGCAATTACTTGCTATGCTTCAGAGAGCTGGACAATGACTAAGGATAACAGAAGAAGAATCGATGCCTTCAAGTTGTGGTGCTGGAGAAGAGTCCTGAACATACCATGGACTGCCAAGAAAACAAATAGGTTCTTTGAGAGGGTTAAACCAAGTTTCTCCTTGGAGGCAAGGCTTTTGAAGCTTCATCTCACATACTTTAGGCATGTGGCCAGGAGAGACCAGTCCTTGGAGAAAGACATCATGTTTGGAAGGGTAGAGGAACAGTGCAGGAGAAGATGAGATGGATTGATACAGTTACTGGGGCAATGGGGGTTGGTGTGTCGGAATTAGTGAAAAGGGCTCAGGACAAGGCAGACTACAGAGCTGCTGTACATAGGGTCGCTATGGGTCACAGGTGACTCGACAGCACATAACAAGTACTAAAGAGTTTCCACTGCAATGATACAATTCTCTACATCCTTGACGTCTTTAGTCACATTAGTATTAAAGCAACATTTCCTGTACGGCTTTATTCTTTCATTAATGAGAAAATTGTATCTAAAATTAAGTTAACCAAGTTTAGTACTATCATGTTTTTGAGCTAACTTATTGCCTTGCAAGGAAAAGGACTTTAAAACAAACAAAAAAACTTTTTTATTTGACTCAAAGTTTACGGAACAGAGAGGTATTCCATTTAAACATTCACAGACATGGTATTCCATTTAAACATTCACAGACATATCTTTTATAACACTGGTTACAACTCCCATATCGTAAGAGCACTTTTCTCACTTCCAGCATGTGCTTATTCCTATTTTTCCTCCTACCCTCTCCCTTTTTGCCTTCTGACCTTTATCTTTGGTCAAATGTTTCCTGTTTGATGTTGTATGGTTTGATTAAGCTAACTTTCGACCTTTTTCAGTCTAAGTTGTGTTTAATGGTTCCTTAGATAACTGTTGTTAGATGCTGTCAAACTGGCTCTCACTCATAGTGATCCTATGTCCAACAGGGCAAAACCATGACTGATTTCTTTAAAACCATTATTATAGTCATTGTGTCAATTTATCTTGTGGAAGGTCTTGCTCTTCTTTGCCTACCTTCCACCTTTACAAATTTAACTTCCTCTTTGAAGGTCTGGCCCTCCTGACAACAAAGTGCACTTCTTCCAAAATCGACTTGTATTCTTCTGGCAGTCCATGGGATAATGAATGTTCTGTCAGCATAATTAAAAGGCACCAATTTTTCATCTGGTCTTCCTTATACATTGTCCAATGTTCACATACATATGAAGCTAAAGTAAATATCATGGCTTGGATCAAGCACAACTTAGCTTTTAAACTGACAATCTTGCTCTTTAACATTTTCAAAGAGGTCCATGAGGACAGATTTGTCCAGTGCAACAACTCCTTTGATTTCTCGACTGTTGTTTCCACAAGAGTTGACTGTGCATTCCAGCAAAAGGAAATCTTTGACATCTTTAGTCTTTTCTCTATCAAGATGGTCAACTAGTTTAGTTGTGAGGATTTTTGTTTTCTTGATAATGAAGTATAATCCATACTGAAAGATCATGGTTTTTTATTTTCTTTAGTGCTTTTTTTTTATTCTCAGCATGTGAAGTTGTGTTATCTACATAATGTAGGTTGTTGATGGCTCTTCCTCCAATCCTGATGCCACTCTGTCCTTCATATATTGCTATTTCCCTCAGCATACAGATTGAATATAACCTTGATGTACCCCTTTTCTGATTTCTAACCATTAAGTATCCCCTTGTGTTTGAGTAACTACTTATTGGTCTATGTACATGTTTTGCATGAGCACAATTAAATTTCTGGAGTTCTCATTCTTTTCAGTATTTACTATAATTTATTATGATCTACAGTTAAATATCTTTGCATAGTCAACAGAATAAAAGCAAACAATTTTCTGCTATTCTCTGCTTTCAGCCGAGGTCCATCTGGCATCAGCAATGACATCTCTTGATCTAGTCTTTTTGTCTCCACCTTCACTTCCTCCAAGTTCCCTGTCCTGTTCCAACTGTTTAATAATCTTCAGCAGGATTTTACTTGCATATGACAGTAATGATACCATTTGATAATTTCTGCATTCTACTGAATTACCTTTTTGTAAATGGGCACACATATGGCTGTCTTCTAGTTAATTGGGAGGCAGTTCTCTAAATTTACTGATGAATGGGTGAGTAAGTCCAGGGCTACTTCTGTTTGGAAAAACATCTCAACTGATTATTCCATCAATTCCAAGGGCCTCATTTTTTGCCAATGCCATCAAGTGCAGCTTGGGCAATTTCTTTCATTCCCAGTAATTCATGATCATATACTACCTTCTAAAGTGGTTCAGTGTCAACCAATTCTTCTGGGTATGGAGATTCCATGCATTCATTTCATCTTCTTTTGATTTTTTACTGCATCAACCTGTACTTTGCCTATAGAATCCTTCAGTTTTCCAACATAAGGCTTGAGTTATCTTCATGTCTTCTCTACCTGAGAAACGCCAAGTATGTTCCTACTTTTAGTTTTCTAACTCTAAGCCTTTGTACATTTCTTTCCAGTACTTTCCTTTGTCTTGAGCTACCTTTTGAAATCTTCTGTTATTCTCTATTATTTTAACATTTCTTATTTTTACTCTGGCTTATTTAAATTCAAAAAGCAAGTCTATTTTGAAAGTCTATTGAAATCTGTTTTGCTCTTTTTCCCCTTTTGGCTCCAGTCCTATTTTCAATGCCTTCCAACCAGAGGAGCTCCTTTTCCAGAATAGTGGACAATATTCTGTTATTATTCCTGTGGCTTTCAAGGGTCCAGGATTCCAGAGTGTGCAGCCAGTCATGCTCCTTATAGTCTGGAAGTTCCATGGAAACCTTTCCAACAGTGGCCCTGCTGGTAGGAGCTTCTGGCATGAGACAAACAACAAAAGCTACCACAGTAGTACAAACTGTCTGTTAGTCATCGAATTAACTTTCCAATGAAAAGAATATGAAAACTTGCTTTAAAAAAAGAAAGAGTATCACACACACAGCTATTTCAGTACAATATACAATTACTAGTGATACTGACACTCAAGCATCTACTCTGTAAATGGTAAAAAGCCTAGAGGAAAAGATTTTAACAACTTTGGTTCACAGATGCAACTTTTTTTCTTTAATGACAGAGTTCTCAAACTAGACTGGGAGGAAGTATAATTTTAGTACTGTCAGAATTTCTTCCAAAATAGTTTTATGAATGTAAATGCCATTTGGTAATTTTAGTATTTCTCTTATCTGCCAATCCAACAATAAAAAAATGCTCTCTCTACTTACAATATTTCTCTTGAATTAAGGATGAGCACTTCTACATGTTCCGTAAAATTTATATATCTTGGTTTTATACCCATTTTTCAACTCATACAACTTTTTAAAACCTTTGCAATATAATAATTAGTAAAATGGTAGTACTATGCATTAGATTGTGTTATGAGTAACAATGTATACCAATATGGTCATAATATGACTCTACATTATTTGTTATAAATCCCAACCACTATGATGCTGATTAACGTGGAAATAGAGGCAGTTATGTAATGATAGTGGAATGATATCAGGTCAGCCTTCCAGAAGGTCTTAAGAGATGAAGAGATATCATTCACGGTATGGAAAATAAGTATTTATATGTTAAGACTCAAAGATTTTGATAATTTTTCATTAATAAATCCAGAGTCTCAATTATCACCTCTTTCAATTTCTGCTGAAAGATGAAAGTAAACAATTTCTTGGAACTAATATTCTCTAGTTTTAAAATATTTTCAAAATCACACTTTCAATACCTATCAATATGCATTAAGTCTAGATTTTATCTTTTAAAAACTCTGATATTAAGGAATTTTACCAATGTAATAAAATACATGTAATTAAAGGTTAAACAATGTAATAAAATCTCAAAAGACTGTGACCTTTTAGAATAAAGTCCTTAACTTAGAGAAATTAATTAAAAAATTGGAGAAGTTGAAAACAAACTGCTTTTCTCTACTAAGTACCATAAATGCATAACAATGTCCACCTTTTAACCCTATAAGGCAAAAGAGAGTGAATAAGATCATCCTGAAATTGTTATTTAAAAAGTGTTCTGAAGTCCATGAAAAGCCTGCAACATTAATAAGCATGAACTGATTATAGCAAAGATTCTTGAAACTCACCATCTCTATTAGTTTCCCATTCTACATTATCTTCTTCACTTTCTGGAGTTCTTTCCTTAGTGATTTTTATGTCTTCCTTTTCCCGATGTCTCCCTCTTGAAGACTCTTTCTAAAAAATACACATACATATAGAGATTAATATGTTTTTAAATATATATATGTTGTTGTTGTTGTTGTTATGTGCCGTCGAGTCGTTTCCGACTCATAGCGACCCTATGCACAACAGCCCTAAACCCTGCTCT